ATTTATGCATACAAGAACTGGGGTGTAGGCCAAAGGTGTGGCAGGTGAGAGGATTCACCAGAGACATAGTGGGGAGCAGAACAGGTGGACTGACTGAAATACACTGCTGAGGGGAGCGGTGGGTGAGACAGGAGACAAAAGGGCCAAAGCCAGGTGAATGCAGGGACAGAGACTGGCGTGCAGTGTCTACAAGCCAAGGCAGAGGGAGGATTGATTGCTGGTGACCATACAGGGCCGGAAAGGAGGCATGGCACAGGCTCTCCCTCAGAGCCTGAGAAGTATCTCCTCAGGCCCTCCCTGGTGGTACAACTTGTTAAAGCACAGCACTGTGAAGCTGTCCACAGCACGAGTATAATCCCTGGCCTGGGAGCTGACCCACATGGTGTGGCAGACCTCTCCTGTCTCTCTCACCGCTCCCCTCAGCAGTGTATTTCATTAATCTGTCTGTTCTGCTCCCCACTCTGTCACTGGTGAATCCTCTCACCTACCACACCTTTGGCCTACACCCCAGTTCTTGTATGCATAAATAAATAAACCTTTAAAAAATTGTAACTCACCCATCTAATACATTCACTTTGGAATTTTGGCCTCCAGAACTGTGAGAATCAATTTCTGCAGTTTTAGCCCCCTAAATTTGTGGTAATTTGTCACAGCAGCCCTAGGACAGTAGGGCTGTAGAAGTTCCTGCCTTTCTACAACATCCTCTCAACAAGCAGTAAGCATTCAGGGATGGAGAATTCACTACGTGTCACTGTGTGTTGGAAAATCCTTTCTGCTAAACCAACACTTAGTACTAACAATATAAATCAGGTTGGGGTCTACAAAGAGCGGGGGAAACCAAGGCCTAAAAAGACACCAGTCCCTTCTGTTCAAGAGGTCAGGGAAGGCTTCATGGAGGAGGCAGCATATATATTGAGCCAAAAAAGGATAGAGATGCCCAACCAAACTAAAACACGTGCAGTGGTAGATTCCATTGTTCAGGTGACCGAACAATGGATGGCCTAGAGAAGGAAAGTATGTGTCCTTTGCATAAACACTCATTCATCCTTTCTGAGAATATTTATTCAGTAATCAGTACATTGTTGGAATGGGGGGGTGTAGTGTGTTGGTAGCCTGGAATTTATAGTGAGGGGTCTACATCTTTAACAACTGTCAGCTCCCAAGGAGCAAGTATAACATGCTCTTCCTCCCTGGGATTTATTCTTCAACTTAAATTACTCCAGTCTTCCTTTGTATAGAGGACTATTGTATCTTTCCAGGAAACTTCCCTGTGGACCTTCCTCTGATGATAACATAGCTATGCGCTGGCCGCAGGGCAGCTCAGAGTCCAGGCCTGGCCAGTCACAGCACTGCACCCGCCCACCTGGCAGCAGCAATGGGTGGGTCAGGTCCTTCTCTGGCACTGACTTCCGGACCCTGGGAGCAAGCAGCTCTCTGCTGGAGCAGAGACATAGCCCCTTAGAAATCTGTGTGAATGAGACCAATGGGCTAAAAGGACAGAAAAGAGCTGGCCAGCCTGGGGGAGGGTCCTGAGGGCGTGTCTCACAGGTGCCTTGTTCCTAGACTCTTAATCCCATTTCCAGAGTTGTCCTAATGACCTTCAAGGAACTCTGCAAGGGGAAAGCCTGCGAATCAGGGAGATGCAGGGGCCGTAAATTCCTTCACGTCTAGGCCAGTCTGAGTTGGGTGTCTGTTGCTTGCAACCAAAGGGTCCCGCCTCTAAACACCCCTCCTACCTACTAACCAAGCAGCCAAAGAGCAGAGGGGTGGGGTCAGTAGACCAGCAGCTCCCCTCTAGTTGAGCTCAGACCTGTGCATTTTCTGGTGTGCAAATGAGCACTTGTGCTGTGTGGGTGGAACTGAAAGAACCGAAGGGTGAATTCAAGTAAAATCCAGATAAATAAAAAAAAGACAATGAATGAAAATATTTCTGCAATATTTATGCCACAAAGGAGAAATATTTTTTAGCCTTAGAGAGGGTAAAAATTCTTATTTCTTTGATCTAAGGCTCATTTTGAAATACAAAATGGGAGAGAAGTTCAAAAGTAAAAAGTAGACTAAGTTGCCCAAAAAGTCAACATACTTTAGATGAATCCACCAAATTAACTAAATTAACAAAATGACCAAAAATGTGTTTCTTTTAACTAAAGTTTTCTGCAATTCATATAAAATGTTGACATTTGGGTTATTCTAATGGCAATAAACACCACCAGGGGTGAAGATAGGTATTTTTGATAAGGGTGATATCAGGGCTGATAAGGGTGAATTAGGACAAGATAATGCATCTCATCATTCATGTAACATCAACATCTTGGTTATGTGCCCTGTGTCAGGCCCAGGACTCAGGGGAACAGATCAAGACTTGATCTGTCAGGGCAGGGGCAGGGTGAAAACAGGGGAGAGGGCCCTTTTACCTGTGGCGCAACAGGTTAGGATATAGCACTGCAAGCTAGCCTCAGCCACTTCAGTGCAAGTTCGATCCCCAGCCCCGGAGGTGACCACATGGCCCGGCAGACCTCTCCTGACCCGCCCGCTGCTCCCCTCAGCAGTGTACTTCATAGATCTGCCTGTTCTGCCCCCCACTCTGTCTCTGGTGAATGCTCTCACTGCACCTGCAGCTCTGGCCTGTACCCCAGTTCTATATGAATAAATTTAAAAAAAAAAAAAAACAAAAACAGGAGAGAAGAACACAAGGGAGTAAATATGGTGATGATATGGGGACTACATGTAAGAAAATAATTTAATTAATAAAAAGATAAGACAGTCTGTGCCTTCCAGGAACTCCAGCAGGGAATCAAGGAATACATCCTAGCAGGCCTAAGAAAGGAAAAGGCCTCACAAGGCCAGTGGGGGCCAGGGCAGGTGAGGGTCTCTGGAGCAGATGTTGGGCCTGGGTAGTGAAGGTTATGCAAGCCTTTGCCAGGCAAAGATGGAGAGTGGAGATAGAGTTCAGATGGGGTACAGCTCAACTTGAGGCTCTGGTGCTGAGGCTGCAGGTGGTGTCCTCCACACAGCGTCCAGTCTGGCCATCGCTTCCACAAAGTCCAAGCTTCGCCCCCCACGCCACCCCATTCTCAGAAAGCACGCACCCCAAAGGGCACACAAACAGAAGCACTTACTTGTCTGAGCCTTCAGAAGATGACTACCGCTGCTTCTCCAGTGTTCTTTTTAAAGCACAGTTAATTTCCTTGCCAAATGTGTGAGCCCTTGGGATTAATTAGAGCTATTGTGGAATGTCAGAGGAGACTGAGAAAATCCTGAATGAAACCAAAACCAGCGTCTGGAGTGAAGTCTTTGCGCTAGTCCATGATTCACCAAGCTGGGCCACCTAGTCCAGCCCCTTCATTTTACAGATAAGGAAACGGAGGCCCCTGGAAAGTACTGACCTGGGTGCAGGGCCGAGCTGGGCCACGTCCCACTGCCATGTCTTCTGTCTCTGCTCGGCACTGGCGCTGCTGTCCACATTTCCGGGACTTGTTTATGAAGAGGCAGCGCTCTCGGCGGAATTCACTGCCTCGCTGTGGGAATACCTGGGGCCCAGACCTGCTCTTCCCAGGCTTCTTCCTGCCCTGGCCTCTTGTACTCTGTCCTCAAGCAAGGGATAAGCCTTGTTTCTGCCTGCTTAGCCTGGTAACACACATCATGCTATGCGTTAGTATCATACGCATGGGGCTCCTTTAAAATAATGTACTGAAGCCCGAGACCTGACCCAGAACAAAAGAAGAATCTGAGGCTAGCATCTGGGAGCCTAGATTCCCTCAAATGAGCCTAACTAGGGTTGAGCCATTAAATCACTCCAGCTCACCTGGAGGCCTAGTTGAAGGCACGTTCCTCCAGGGAGTCTTGCGGACGTTAATCCTGTGCAGGTGGCCCGCTTCGCCTGAGTGCCCGTGGGCCACGGGGAGCAGCCCCTGGCCACGGGGAGCAGCCCCTGGCCACTGACAGTGCCTGCATTGTGCCGTATGTTTCCTGTGATTGCAGGCTTGGTCTTTCCCTCGCCATAGGGCCTCGATCGAGTTACCTAACCTCTTTGAGGCTTTCCTCATCCACAAAATGGGTTTTGGTAACAGTACCTAATCTATTTCCACTGATGGATTCCAACCTCAAGTTCTGCTCTTCCACACATACCCCCTCACAACCCCTGCATGGCCCATCTATTTCCAAAACTGCAGGTTCCCACAAGCCCAGAGAATGGACCAGTTTTGAGGCCTCTCTACCCACTTTCCTTCATCCTGCAAGCTGGCAAGCAGCACTTCAGGAAGATAACATGTCTCCTCACACTTCCTTCCAGGAAACCTCTCCAGGCTCCAAATTCCACCTTGCAGGTGGCCATGAGAACAATACAGGATAGACAGTCCCTCCCCCAACCCAGCAGCCTCCCAGAACCCAGGAGGTAGACCCCTGCCTTAGCCTCCAATCCAGCCAGATGGGCAGAGCCATGGCTGACTCGGGGGGCAGAAGGAGACGTTTATGTAGAGTTTTCACTGTAGAGCAAGCCCTTCCTCAGATTGTAACAGTGACCCCTGGGAGATCTGCTAGATGACTTGCCCAAGATTGCAGTTTAGCAAGGTCTAGGGCTAGAACTGACAGTATCACGACACTGGAAACATTATCAATGTCCCAAAGCAGGGAACATTGATACTCTACTTCATTAGAGTACATCCATATTGTTGGGTCTTATGCGACAATTAATGCCATGTCTTCAAGTAGCTTAGTAACATGGGGAAAGATTCACAACAGGTTGAGTGAGAAACGGACATAGGCTTTGACCTCAGCTTTATGATGTAAAAGTATTTACTGGCATATATGCAAATACAGATTGCATATATGTTTGCAATAGTACTAAAGCTATTTCCAAGTTGCTCCTGGTCCTCTGTTCAGTCAAACACGCTCCTCCTCCCCAGGTGAATAAGAGCAGCATGCTGATCATGAGTTTGAGAGCCACGTGTTTGTGAAAAATAACACCAAGGGGGAAGAATAATCAGAGTACTGCCAGTCAGTGGTGTTTATAAAGTTTTTATTTTCTGTTTTCTTAAAAATAACATTTGATTTCCTTTATGCATGTGTGGAGTGTACTTGTTTCCTTAGGCTGAGTAATAGGCAGATAAAGACAACATGAGGCAGGGTCCCCAAGTGAAGATGGGGCTGGGGTGCCAGGAGATGGGGGCCCGGGGAAAGGGAGAGGGTGGGGGTGATCCACGGGACGCTTGGGTGCCCACCAACGCACACACATGGTCTAACACTTTGTTTTTCAATTTTTTAAAGGACATCTAGATTTACTGAGAGATACGATTTCAGCACTTAAATATACAGACGGAAATCCAAGCACTTGAACACAATTCTGTACTCTAAGCTCAGTTATTGCACATAACACAATTTAAGTAGGCTTCAGGCTATAAAGCAGTTTGCTCTGCTCGGGACTTCCTTGGGATGTCGCCAGTCCCCTTCTGCAACCCCAGTGTCTCTTCCCTTTGACCTCTGCCAGCCCACAGCCTCGCCATCAGGTGCCAATAGATTACAGACATTTCCTTCTCCCCAAGGGTGGGGGGCGGGGCGGTTGGGCTCTGGTGAATGGAGGGCTCCCACATTTATACCAATGGACCTACTCATAGGTGAAGTTGGAAGCAGCTGGAGCTCATGAAAGGCTGAGGGGGTGGCCTGTCCACGAAAACCAGGCAGGCTGGCATGAGGAGAGAAATGTGCCCACTTGCTATGGGAGGTCACAGCCCCAGCAGAATAACGGGGGGCGGTCACAACACCCCGGCACATGCTCCTCAGCTTCACCTCCCTCTTCCTCCTTCCTGAGCACCCACACTATGCCTCCTTCTACACCCCTTGGGCCTGCATGAAATCTCTCAAGGCACATTTGCTCTCTCCAACTGCAACCTACCCCATTTTAGACATACCCATCTCTCCTAGCACCCATGAGCCAAGCAGGAAATGGTTCTTTTAAAATTTAGTTGAGTTTTTTCCAACGGAGCCCAATTCCCTTGCCTGCCTAAGCCAGGGGAGTGAGGACAGGATGGAGAGAGGACACTGGGACAAAGGGGCAGGAGAGGGACCAGGAGGCAGACAGCTTGGTCAAGGGCATGAATCCAGTTGCTGAGGAAGAACCAACCTGCACCTTGCTCACAAGGAAATCTAAGTCACTCGGAAGCCTTTAGCCCATGGGAACAAGCTGGGTGGCTTCCGTCTCAGAGAATGGGTAAGAGGCAGTGTGGGGGTTCAGAGACAGGCTAAGACCGGATCCCTAGTCCCTCCTGGGTCTAGTTCAGCGCCTTTTGCTTTCTTTCTACAACATATTTACAAGGGCATAAAAATGTGCACAACTGGAAGACCCAGAGACACAAAGAGAGCACGTACCCCCAGGTGGGGAGGGCAACAGTGATGAGAAAGGTGCCCCTTCCTCTCTGCCACCTTCCCACCCCAAATGCCCCAGCATCCTCTACAGCTGGCCCCTCCCACCCCCCCTCCCCGGAAGACAATTCCAGAAGTCAGAACTGGGACAAAGGGAAGAGACAGACTCCAATCTTAGTGAGAGCAGGACGTTTCAAGTAGCTCTGAATGGGAGGCGCACTGCTCTGAAAACAGAGGGCGTTTCCCTGAACTGAGCCGGGGACCAAAAGAAGGGAGGGGAGGGCAGGGCATGGGGGATGGGGGAGACAGGACATGGGGGTCTGAAACAGCGCGAGACACCTTAACAATCAACTGTGCTGTGGAATGAGAAGCGGTGTATGGGGCTAACTGCAGTTTCATTATTTTCCCCAAGAGAGGGCTTGGAAGATGTTGATTCTGGGGCTGAGCAAAGGGGCGGACAAGGTGAGGTCTTTCCAGAGTTCAGTAACACAGCGGTGCCGCAGAAGCCGGGGTGAGCCAGACGGGAGCCTTGCCCAGGGAACCGCACCACGTAAATCCCTTACCCGGCAGCCCGCCCAGTACACAGCGTCTGTACTTGCACCCCAGGCCCTCAGGGATGGCCCCTAGGCTCACACACAAGCACACATGCACTGCACACACACACACACACACACACACACTCTACTCACCGTGCACTGACAGGCATCAGAAGCCCAGGTCCAGGTAAGAAATTCCTCATCAAAGGTATTAAAGAATTTGCTTCAACAGGGAGGACTAGACAGAATGGGGACAGAATGGGGCAGCTTCTCATCCTCCTGCCCCTATCTAGTAAGGAAGTGATTTGGGGGAACAGCAAACATTCCAGTCCCATCCACTTAGGCTTTTCAGAAACCCCTCCAGGAGAGCAGCCTAGGGGCGCTCAGAGGGACAGAGTCGACCCCCAGAAGTGGGAGCTGGTGGAGCTGGGAATGGCCATGAAGCCTCTCCCTTGAGAAAGACAGAAAAAGGTCAACATCTCAGAGCAGGAAGGGTACAGCTTTCCTCCTTCAACAGGGCTCAGGAGTAATCCCTCCGGGGTGGGAGGGAAGCATTTGGTTAGGGGGGCAGATGGGAAGAGCCCCACACACACTCTTCTGGCCAAGACCCATTTCTGCTCATTTTCTGCTCAGACTCCCAAAATGGACAAGGGGATCCCAGTAATGGGGCTGGGGGCAGGTGCCACACCCCATGGGGTCAGGCAGAACTCACCTGTGTCACCACTGTCTCCACTGGACAGCGCCCACCAGACCCCCGCCTGAGCTTCACAAAAAGGGACTTGCTGTCCTGGGTCTGGCTGCCCATCTCTGCTCCTAAAAGCTCTTCCCTGGATCTGCAGCCATAGTCTACCTGCTGAGCCGGCCCCTTCTCTCTTCTCCCCACATCCCTCTCCATCCTGGGCAACATCAACAAGATCTCCCCACCACCCACTCTGTCTCTGCCCCCAGCTCCTTCCTGACTGCCTCTGGTCACATTAGTTAGGGTGGGAGTTTCTCTAGTGCTGGGGGGGGGGGCAGGGTCCAACAAAGGGAAAGGGCTTGATGTGGAGAACGCTCAGCGCAACTCATCTGAGCCTCGAGAAGAGGGGCACAGCCAAGCTGGCCCAGCTTCAGGAGAACCCCCAGCCAGCAGAGAGCTCAACGCCCTCCCTCCCCTCTACAATAGGACACACCCACAGGCCAGAGTTTGACACTGGAAGGGGGCAGGAGAAGGCAGGACTGGATGAACAGAGAACAGCAAACCAGACAAGGACCTCAGGGTGGGGCTCAGTGGGGCCCGGGGACATCTCATTGCTTCATTTGACCTAGCAGTGTGTGTGTGACTGTATTATTTTTCAAACCAACATCAAATGGAAAGAAAACTGCTACAGGGAGGCTGAAGGGGACTTTGGGTGACTCACTCTGCCTGGAGCAGTGTGGACCAAGGACACACACGCGCACACACACAGACACGCACACACATGAGACACAAGCGTGTGGTCTCACATCCCAGCTAAACATGCCACACACTGTCATGCACACTCACACGCCCAGTCCTCCCATCGAAGCCAGGGTCCTTCCAACTGTACATTCTGGATCCATTGGCTAAGCTGCCTGCTTCCATCCAGGTCTCTGCTGGCCCGTCTCCCCCGGCCGTCAGCACCCTGGCCTGCCACGGCTCCCCTCAGCCATCTACCAGATGTAGCCTCCGTCGTCCGCTTCGCCCGCCTCGCCCTCCTCCTCCTCAGCCTCCTCGCCTGCTTCCTCTGTCTCCTTCTCCTCCTCATCCTCCCAGCCAACGCCGCTCCCAAAGTCCCCAGAGAAGCCCACGATGTCATCTGTGAGGTGAACAAGCCAAGGAGCAGGTTAGGATGCCCCTGGTTGCCTCTCCCCACTGCTATTGGGGAATCTGCCACACTGAGTTAGGACCCCCCCCCCACCTCCCGGACTCCCTCCCAGGCCCAGGCGCAGGTCAGAGGGTCCCCATGAGGCTGCCCGCCCTTACCACAGTCGGGGCTCCCGTGGGTGCGGGTGCCTGTCAGCTCTAGGCCCAACTGGTCCACACACCAGCAATCACCACTGCTCTGGTCACACTGCATCTTGCGGTAGTAGCCGTCCTCATCACAGCTTGGGATAAAGACTCCTGAGTGGGACAGGGCCCAGCAGGGTCAGACCGGGGCCTTGGGGTGGGGCCTCTTTGGAGAGGAGGCCCTAGAACTTTGACACAGGCCAAGGTCCAAACCCCACCAGAGCCCAGCCAGTGAGGTGTTGACCAACCAACAAGAAAGACATCAAGGGCTTGACTGACGAGAGAAAACCTTCCCCCCTAAATGGCCTACAGAGGTCCCAGTGATGTTCCCATTCACCTCCACTGTTTCCTCAACAGCAGGTCTTGTGAGTCAGTCAGTCTGAAATCATGTTAGATGCCCTGGATCCTACAGCAATTCCTCTGGTCTGGCTGTGGCTGCCAGCAATGCCCAGGTTTCTCTCAGGCCCTCTGATTCAGACCTGCCTTCAGGACTTACCCATTTTCCCTCAGGCCCCAGAACTGCTGCTCCTGTTTTCTGAAATCAGCCTGGGGAGTGAGATGGACTCTGCCCACGTGGGGGGAGGGGGTGTTGAAGCACATATAGATTTGGGGACACCAGGTACCACGTGATGGGAGCCGAGGCCCAGCAAGCACACTGAGGGACCACAGTCAAAGAGGATTGCTTTTGTGAGGGAAGATCATGGTGGCTCCTAGCAGAAGTGGTGCTGACACCTGCCCCTAAAGGGGACTGGGCTGGCGGTCGGTATGGCTCTGGGAAAGCTCTGATGTGTGCTGGTTTCGTGGGCCCAGTTAAGAGTGCCAAGCTGCTCCCAAGGAGCTATGAGGTGCATGTGATCTGCCTCCAGGACCTCTGCCCCCTCAACCTTTCTTTCTTTCTACTTCCCAGGAGCCCCCAGTTTTTCCTGCCCGGGGCTGTGTACGTGGCTGGCTCGTTGTTATCCCTCAGGTGTCCTCCTGCACACCAGCTCCACAGAGATGTCCACTTGTATTCTCCTTCAGTACCACACACAAGCCACAACGAATAGCTCTGTCATTTTGGTATATCAATATATCAATATGTATGTGATTCTCTGAAGTAGTCCCATGTGTTTTATGAGGTACCAAACCTCAAATCTGTCTTGCTCATCAGGAGCTAGCCTGGATCTGGTGTCTCTCCGGGGCTGGTACTCAAGTGTTTGCTGAGTATCTGAGCATCTGCTGTGTCAGGGCACACGTGCTGGCTCAGCTGAGTTGAATGGAGGGTTCTAAGATCTGTAGCCCAGCCTCCAGCCCTGGCACCATGAGTATAAAATTTGTGCTTAAAAAGCACTTATTGAGGAGCTGACTGGAGCACTGCCCCACCACGAGGATAAAAACAGGAAGGGGGTTTCCCTCCTCTGTCTGTCTAGGGCCTCCCTAGCTACAGCATCTTCCAAAACACCAGGGAATGGAAACTTTGGGCCTCTGGGGCCCCAGGGAACCCCTTCCTGCCTCCTGGGAGCATCCCGCCGAGCCCCTCACCTGGCTTCTTCTTGGCAGCCTCCTGGATTTGGATGCGCTCCAGCTCTGCCAGGCAGGGGGGCTCTGCGGGAGAAAAGCAGCCGCTGAGAGGGCCTGTTCCATGATGCTGGTAAGACTCGCTGAGCCCTCAAGACTTAAACCCAGCAGGGGCTCCACAAGGTGAAAATACCCAGGCTCTGATGCAGCCCAGCCCACAGCGGTGGTGGGACCCACTGTCCCTCTGAGGCCTCTGAAATCGACACAGGGGGTGTTTAGGATAGAAACACCAATGTTTGTGGATGAGCTGAGGTGCCCCCAGGAAACCTAGGGCTCCCGGAGGATGCGTGAACAGGATTCAGAAGAGGACGTGGGGTGAAGGTAGAGATATCCCAGAATGAGAAGTCCTGGGAGAGCCTAAGATGGAACGTCAGATGGAAACCTGACAGTATCTGGCAGCCAAAGCTAACTTATCTATGACCTCGAGAAGTCCTCTAGCCCATCTCAGCTGAGGACTCGCAGGCAGTAAAATAAGATCAGTCCCAGCTTCCTGCCCAAGGCTGAGGAACAGGATGGGAGGACTCTGAGCTTCAAAGGCCTGGGAGTACAACACTGGCGTATGGCAGGTGGCAGTCAGGGCAATGAAACAGAGCCAACTGCCTGGGTTTGTGATTTACATGGTGCTCTGCACCCAGATTTTCTTGGTCCATCCTCACAAATCTCTGAGGCGGACATTGTTGTCTCCAGTATAGATGAAGAAACAGAACTCAGAAATATTCAGCATCTCCCTGGGGCCCCAAACCAGCATACAGTGGAGAACTAGCAGAAGTCTGGCCTTGGCCATGGTGCTGTGCTACTCCCACCGCAGACACCAGCCGATGCGCTGGGCAGCTGGACCTTTGGGACCTGTTTCCCCACTGATGATGCTTGCTGCTTGGCCCTAACCCGAGGGCCCAGTGTCCTGGCACACAGCCAGGTCTGACTCAGGGTGGCAAATGATGCCCCACCTCTAAGCTAACGAGCACCCATGTAATCACTTTATTTGGGGTAAATAATGTGAGCTGCGCCCAAAAATGGAATCATAGAGAAACCAATGTAGCTTTGGTTCCAGGAGACTCTCAGACCTTTGAGAGGTCCTCCAGAGCCCTGAGAATTTTGTATTTATAGTGCTTAATAATACCCTCTTAAAGAAGGCCTCTCAAAGTGCTTCAGCACCCACAAAATCTATACCCACCTAGGTGCCTGCTAAGTGCTAGATCCCTGGGTGCTAACAGGTGGGGCTCTGAGAGAAAACAGGGAGTGGGCGGGCTAGAAATGTCTGGGTCGGGGAAGGTGGCCAAGAGCCTGGAGCAAGGGACAGAACCCACCGGAGAAGCACCGGAGAAGGCCTGGGTGAGGGGGGTCACACTTACTCTCCCTCCAGAAGCAGAAGCACCACTCGGCAGTGGAGACACGGCCATCCTTGTAGGTGTCACAGGAATTGAAGAAGGGGCGGATGCAGACCTCGTACTTGTCCAGGTTGATGGCAGCCAGCTCTGTCTGGTCCAGGAAGAGGTCAGCGCTGGTGTCCAACTTGGAGAACATCCAGCCAATGGAGTCCTTGCAGCTGGCCCCCAGGCTCTTGTCTAGGCCTGGAGAGAAGGTCAAAGTTCAGATATGCTCAAGATAAAGCACCCCAACCCCGACAGCCATCTCTACCTCTCCGTCAGCCCCAGCCCTCTGTGCAGGATCAGGGCAACTGAGAATCTGACCACAGGTTAGGAAACTCAAGAACAGCCAAAGGTCCATTCTCTGCCTCTGCACAGAACTGCATCTACACCATCCAGAACCCTATCTGAAAGCCCGTCAGAGAAAATATCCCCTCCCCGTACCTTGGCTACCCATTTCAGGGTTTAAGCCCCCTTCTACCCACTGTAAGAAACTCTTGCTATTAGCTACCCTGTATTTTTCCTGGTCTGACTGACACTTAACCACTCTTGGCCCCAGGGGTTAGCCCAGAGTCTCACAGGAGCGGCACAAGGCAGGCTGGCTCCAGTGCACACCTATCTCCCCATCTCCCTCCCCCAACAGGCAGAGCAACCCGCTCCTTTACCACTGGCCGAGCTGGCTCCGCTGCCGGCTGAGCCGTTCTGCTTGGAGTTCTCATGAAGGAGCTGGAACCAGTCCCGGAGCCGATCCCCCAGGTCAGCCAGGTCCTGACCTGTGCAGGTCTCTGCAGGTGGCAGAAGGCGGAGAAGGAGACGGAGAGTGAAGATGGGGTAAAACAGCAAGCATGGCCTCAGCTTGGGACGCTGCCCCCTGAGCCAGGAGGCTGGGCAATGGTCAGAGTGAAGGGCAATTAGAAATCAGAGGCTCCTGCCTACCATCTTGGACCCTTCACTCCTTCCTAGCACTAAAATGCACAGTCAGGGCTCCCCTGACTGGGGCCTGCCTCCCCCCGCACCCCCCAGACACCCAGGGAAGAGAACTGAGGTCTAAGCTCTCTCCCAGCCCCACTGGTGACTTAGGCTTTACCCTAGTGTTGCTACTGTGGGCTCTGGTGGTGGGCGCACTATGGCAACAATGCCTGGGGTGGGGGCGGACCCCACACTTCTTTAACGGGAATGGCTAAACCAATACTAACTCCGTAACAAATATTTAGCACAAAAAAAAAGAGGTGCCCAGGAAACCCTGGAAGTGAAGCGCCCAGCCTGGCCGTGGCCCAGCGCCCCTGTTACCTGTTTTGCCATCCGTGGTGGAGGTGGCAGCCTGCTCCGTGGGGCAGGGGCAGGGGCCCTGGCACCTCACAGTCAGCTGCTTGCTGCTCAGACACGCCTGCTGCTCCAGCTTGCACTACATGAGAAGAAAGGCCCCATGGGTCCCTGTAGCGGGGACCCCCTCAGGCCCCCCATGGCAGTCACATCTGCCTTCCCCTTTGGAGACGGGACGACAGAGCCCCATAACAGCCCTCCTCGCCACTCTGGAGGCCGCATGTAAGGGGGGGTGGCCCTCAGAAAGGGGGTCTCAGGGAAGGGAAGGCTCCCTGAGCCCCGCTCCGCGTGCTTCTCCTTCCCAGGACACCCGTCCACCATCCCCAGTGGCCCTTTGCTGAAACCAGCGTCTCTAGTGTTCCCCCTGGTAGTTCTGGTTTTCCCTGTCCGGTGGCCATTGGTGAGAAGAGGGACGCTGTGGCATTTTGCATGATCTCACTTGGTCCCCTGCTCACAAGGTCAGAGAGGCCCAGGGAAGCCAGACCCCCGATGACCTCTGCCTCTCTACAGGGCAGGTCCCTGTCCAAACTCAGCCTGGCCCTCAGGCTGTCTGACAAATGGGGTCTTCTCCTTCGCTCTCCCCTCCAGCGGCTCTGTCCTTCTTTGCACCCCTTCTGCTTCTTCCACGCTGTTTCTGCCTCAGCCTCTTGCTCTTCTTTCCCTGACTCCCTCTCCCCCAGGTGACCTCCTCCCCTCAGGAACTCCAGTGATGATCCAAAGAGGGTGACACCTCAGTCTTGAACTTTGATTTAAATCTTAAATCTGCACCTCACCCCAAAAGCATTCCTAGGCCCCAGAACCCGAGCTTCGCTAACAGTCAGTGGCCTCCAGGTGCCAAGCAACACCCAGCTCTCCACTGCTGGTAGAAGTGCTAACAATCAGCACTTCTGGCTTTCTATGTCTCCTTAAAGTTCAAAAGATGCTTTCACAAATATGGTCTCATTGAATTCTTGGAAAAATCCCAGAAGGTGGGGATTTGTTTCCCTAACCACCGTTCCCTCGTGTGCTTGTCTCATGAAGGATTATTTCCTCCTGCCCCGAAGTATGGTGCTTGCGGTGAACACCATCCCCTCCGGGTGGAAATCTGCCTCTGGAAAGTTCACCTCTCAGCAGCAGGACAACAGGCTACTTCCTTCCACAGACCTCGATCCTCTCGTGGGACCCTTAACATCACTACACTGACTTGCAGGTACATGCCTATCGCCTCTTTCCTACCTGCACCTGAGATCAGAGGTAGCACCTGGCTCCGACTCTCAGGTAGCCCCAGCCCAGAGCTCAGGCTGTGGTCGGCAACAGTGGATTCAATGACCACGCCCATCTGGCCCCACATCGGCAAGAGGAACCCTAGGAGGCCTTGGCTGGGTTGTCCTCTCTGCTCCCACTGACCTCATGCACCTCACCCCACCCTGCCTAGGTCCAGGGCTCCTCACCACCGAGCTGTAAGTGTGGCCATCCGAGCCGCAGACAGAGGCAAGCTGGGCCATGTGGCAGGGCTTGCAGATGGAGTCTTTGTTTCCATGGAGTTTCAGGGCAGGCTGCTTGATCCTACAAAAGGACAGGGGAGGGAAGGCCACAGAGATGGAGGTGGAAATGAGAGGAGGGGTGGGAAAAGCAAGGCTCAGGAGAGCCGTCCCTGTGAGACGCTGCCCCTGCTCATCTCCAGCCCACCCCAGGCTGCCCTCCCTTATGCTCCCCCAGTCCTCTCTATCTCGGTGGGGTGGGAACAACTGGGCCCAGTACAGATCCCCGGCTTCCCCTTTTCCAGGGGTTACTGAGTCCAGCAGGGCCTTAGGTAGCAACGCCAAATCAAATGCAAGATAAAAAGGAGTCACACTTCATTCAAGGGATCAGCCCAAGTCAGAGGCTGCAAACTGCTTGTCCTCAGGCCACATCTGGCTTCTAGATCGTTTTGTTTAGACACAAAGGGTTTTGTTTTTTTTTTTAAGATTTATTTATTTATACAGAACCGGGGTACAGGCCAGAGATGCGGAGGGTGAGAGGATTCACCAGAGACAGAGCGGGGAGCAGAACAGGCAGAGCGACGAA